ACACAGAAATCATTCAAAGAAAAACAAGAGCTCACTAACACACCAGATGCTCTAGTGACCCTGATCCCAAAATAGTACCCCCCCCCAATGCCATGTCCACCTTGCTCTCCCAAGGAATGTTATGAGGGAGGGTTCGCTCACGGCACCGTAAACTAAGCCGGCCCTTCTTCCACAGAGCAGTGGGAGTATTGCGACTAGGGGTGAGTCTCTGCTGCCCCCCTCAGTCCTGGTCCTGTGGTGCCCAGGAAAAGGGTAGGAGACTTACCAAAATTTGGCACCTGAACCTTCCCTTTTGCATCTTCTGTGTAAAAGGGAACTGGCAGTGCTGTCTGCGGTCGGAGGCATGGACAGTCTGCCTGGGAAAGGAAATCCCAACAGCTGCTTAGAGCAGATCCCCCCATGCCTCAGTGGAAGACAGGGCCCCCATGTATCAGGAGGCAGAAAGCCCACCCAGGGACACCAGAAATCTGCTCTAGGAACAACAAGATCCACACCCCCTGTTGCAAAGAGCCAGTGACCACAACATGGTGAAAAGGAGAAGCAAAAGGTCTATTAAGTATCGACATCCAAGGAGACAGAGAAAGTCACTTCTTTAAAATGTCTATGTCCCACTGGGAAGAGTTAACTATGGGGAGGAAGTGGGAGGGGAGCTGTTGCATTGTGGTAAACTGTGGTCAATGTCATGAGACAAAGTATATGGGAACTGTTGTATGGAAAGTGAATTTGCTCTGTAAATCTTCACCTAAATCACAATAAAAAAAAAAAATGTCTATGTCCCCAAGCAAAGGGGTGGACATGATTATAAAGGGAGGTGGGAAGGGGGTTGGACGATCCCTTGAACTGCCAGGAATGTCTCTGTTCTTCTCTTCCCTGGATACTCCTGACTCAGCTTCCTTCTTTCCAGGGTCTTCTTGCTTCAAAGGCTATGGTTCTCAGTCAAACCAGTCATGGAAGAGGGTTATGCTTAGAAGAATATATAATTGAAAATAGCAAACCTAAAGAACTCAGCATCGGTAAAGAGGCTGGCTATTCTATTTACTGAAAAGATATCAAAAGGAAGGGAAAAATGGCAACTCAGTCCTATGACAACTGTCGACTTGAATCGTGCTGCTAGTCTGTTAAAGTTCTGCAGTTTTCACTGAGGAGCCCCTTCAGCCTTCCACTTCAGCCTTCCGCAGAGGGGCCCACAGTAGGTGGGACTGCCCCCGTCTGAGCAGTCCTGGCTGTCCCCATGGGGCAGGAGAGGGCATGGGAGAGCAGGGAGACCAGGTGACCCCAGGCTGGAGGTGGTGGAGGGGCCGAGGGGCAAGGCCAGAGCAAGGCTGACCCCCTTCGAATAAAGTCTGTGTGGGTGTGAGTGAACTTGGTCCTTGCCTTTGGGGAATGGCACGAGACACTCCCATCTCAAGACCCTTAACTCGATCATGTCTGCAAAGCCTTTCTCCCATCTAGTGCACCATGGGCAAGTTCGGGACATTCCCTGGGGTCCTGGTGACATCACCCACACACCCACCTGTGTCAGAAGCAGCTTAGACAAGGGACGTGGTTTCAGGACTAGCCACAGTGCACACACGCAACACACGGATCCTGAGTCCTGTTTATTCTGTTGACTGACCTCATCACAGAGTCACACACTTCACAGACTCCAGTGTGCTTTTATGCTTAATAATCATTTTTCATTTTTATTGTGATTTGGGTGAAAGTTTACAGAACAAATTCATTTTCTGCACAGCAGTTCGTACACATTTTGTTTCATGTTATTGACTGCAATCCCCACATGTTAACAGGTCTTTTCCCGCATCCCCCCGTAGTTGCTTCTTCCCTGTGTCCTTCTGTCCTATGCACTCCTGCCCCCTGAGCTGTCTCCCTGTGCAAACGCTGCCCTTCTGTTCTCCGTGACTGATCACTCTAAGGAGTGTATCTCCCTGGTGTAAATGTTCACTAAAGAGTGTATCTCCCTGGTGTATATGTTCACTATGTGCCTGTCTGTTGTTTGACCAGAAGCCATAGGAGTTCAATTCCAGACCTGAAGGGTAACTAGGGGCCATAGTCTTGAGGGTCTCACCAGCCTCTGAGACCAGTAAACCTGGTCTTTTTTTATGATTTTGAGTTTTGTTCCACATTGTTCTCCCACTCTATCCAGGATCTCCTGCACTAATCCCTTTCTGAGTGGCTGACGGTGGTAGCCAGTCACCATCTAGTTCTGTTCTCATCGTCATATAGGCTGAGGTTTGCATGGTCCTTGGACTAATTTTTCCCATGTGTTTTTGGTCTTCTTCATTCCTCTTTGCTCTGAACTAGAAGCCCACTGTTGTATCTAGAGGGCCGTTTGCAAGCTTTTAAGACCCCCATTGCTACTCGCCAAAGTAGGATGTGGAACAATGTTTTTGTGTAGTATGTTGTACCAATTGAGCTTCATGTCCCCTGCAACCACTGTCTCGAGCCCACAGGTCCAGCCACTCCCGCTATTGGAGCGTTTGACTGTGACTTAGAAGTTATCATAACCTTACTTCTTTTTGGTACTAGTTATATGGACATTTTTACAGCACATACAAATACGTATGTAGAAATACCATCTGCCAAGCTTCTACATATGCTCATGGGTGTATTTCCTTTGCTTCCACATACCTGATCATTCAGCCTGTCTACCCACCTACCTACTGGTACCTTGATGGTTGTTACCACTGATAACATAGTATTGTGTATGTGAAAGTGTTTGTCGTTATTGTCTGTACCTCTCGTACACCTCTTTGTGTTTTCTTTTCCCTTGGTGTTACTTGGTCGGTAACTGCTTTGGGTACATTGCCTTTCCCTTCACCCAAATCAATACTTGTGTGTGCTTTTCTAACAGTGTGCCTTCCCCTCCCCTCCTATCACTGGAACCAACAAAGAAAATTTCCTTCCATATAAAAACCTTTCCTTCATTTTTACAATCGTGAACTACTGCAATATTTGTCCTTCTGTGATTGACTTATTCCACTCAGATTAAGATTACGATTGACTTAATGTCCTCCAAGTTCATCCATGTTATGTGATATTTCACAGATTCTACATTATTCTTTAGGGTTGCATAGTAATCCACTGCGTGTATGTAACCTAGTTTGGTTATCCATTCTTCTGTTGATGGGCACCTAGTTTGTCTCCAACTCTTTTCTATTGTGAACAGTGCTATGATGAACATGAGTGTGCATATATCTGTCTAGGTCCTAGCTCTTGTTTCTTTAGCATATATTCCTAGTAATAGGATTGCAGGGTCAAATGGTATTTCTAATTTCAACTTTTTAAGGAATCACCATACTGATTTCCAGTGGTTGTATTGTTTTACAGTCCCACCAGCAATGTATGAGAGTCCCAAGCTTCCACGTCCTCACCAACATTTGTTGTTTTCTGTCTTGATGAACTTTGCTATTAGTGCTGGGGTGACATGGTATCTCATTGTTTTGACTTGCATCTCTCTAATGACTAATGATCATGAACATTTCTTCATGTGTTATTGGCTGCCTGAATATCTTCTTTGGTGAAGCGTCTAGTCATGTCTTCTGTCCATTTATAAATGAGATTGGTTGTCTTTTTGATACTGAGATAATAGGGTTTTCTATAAATTTGAGAGAGAAGTCCCTTGTCACATATGTCATTATTGAATACTTTTCCCAATCTGTAGGTTCTCTTTTCACTCTTTTGGAGAGGACTGTTGAAGCACATAAAAATTTCATGGTTACAAGATCCCAATCATCTAGTTGATCTGCTGTTTGTGCATTTTGGCTTCTCTCTCTCTTTTTTTTAAAATTGTGATTTGGGTGAAGATTTACAGAGCAAATTCACTTTCCATACAGCAGTTCACATATATTTTGTCTCATGACATTGACCACAGTTTACCACAATGCAACCCTCCCACTTCCTCCCCATAGTTACCTCTTCCCAGTGTCCATCCCTCCATACACTCCTGCCCCCTGAGCTGTCTCCCTGTGCATAAGCAGGCATTTTGGTTTCTCTTGATAGTCTATTTATTCCATAAATTTGGGCCCCTAAGTTTCCCCCTGTTTTTCCCAGATGGACTTTGTGTCCACGTTTTTATGTGGACACACATAGTCGTGTCTCTGGAGTAAACCCACAGGGGCAGAATTGCTGGGCTGTGTAGGAAATGTGCATGACTGATCCCTTTCCTTGGCCGTCACTAAGGTATTTGGTTCCTGGGGAGAAGCTAGGGCCATGTTGGGTGAGGACCTCACTTCCTCAGGTGTGCATCACTCTCCAGCCCAGCACCCCACACCCCCACACCACGGCCTTCATCCCGAGCTCTCCTGAAGACTACTCTGCCATCATATTGCCCACGATGAGGTGAGGGTCACACAGAAGCTAATTCCTCTAAAGCAGTGGGTGAACATGTTGAACATTTCTGGCCTGGCTTGTTTGCAAAGGCCCTTGGCCAAAGTCAACATCAGGAGACTCATCTGCAGAGTCAGGGCCAGTGGACCTGTCCCAGCCACCACCACTGTCCCGGGGGACCTGCCCCTGCACTGCTGCCCAGCTGAGGAGAAGAAAAGGGAGGGCAAGAGAGAAGAATCTGCGGAGGCCCAGGGCAACTGTGGGCTCATGTAGGCGCAGGGCTCCTGGGAAGGAACTCCAATTTCTGCAACATTCTGACATCTGACAGACAGGCTCGCATCTTCAGCACACTCAACAAGGTATGAGGTCTCTGAGCCCCCACCTCATCCCTCAGTGTGGTTCCCTGATATTCCCCTGGGGGGCTTGTCTCACTCCCAACCCCAAAGATCTGATAGCTTTGGTCACACCCTGGACCCAAGGAGCACTGCTGGTCACACTGTTTCTGCAGAAGCTTTATTTATTGGCAAATTCAGATTTAGAGTCATGATGCAGTTACTCTAGTTGGATCAGCCTGCCCCTGAGAAAGCAGCAATATTTTTGGAGGGACTTTTGGCTTCACAAGTGGATATCTCCATTTGAAGCCAATACTGGTGATGCCCAAAAATATGTGGTACTGGCCAAACAAGCCTTCAAGCACCTGCCCTTCCTCATCGGGGTACGCAGTGAAGCCCCGACCGACATCAGCCCCAAATGTTCCCACGCGGTCTTTGTCCGTGTACAGAATCAGGGACCTGAGGAAAACCCCGTGCGTGCCGTATGCCTTGACAATGTGCTCACCGGGCCGCAAGTTGAAGTCATGGCAGGCCCCAAAGTAGGTGCCATATTTCCTGCTCCAGTAGGGTCCAACTTTCACCTGGACACTGGGAGAGAGATGACACTCCAACGTCCAGCCCAGGGTGGCCAGCGCCCTTGGATCCTCTACCAGTGACCCTCCTGGAGACCACCCATGGGGCTGCTGTTCCTGTCCTTCCTCTCACCTGGCTCCTCCCCCTCCACCAGCTCCGCCCACCTCACTCTCTGTCTCCCTTGGGCTTGGGACATGCCACACACTCCCTCCTTGGGTTCCTAGGCTCCTCATAGGTGGAGAGAAAAACTCTGCCCCAGGCCAAGAGCAGAGACGTCCCCCAACAGTAGGAGAACTGCCCTCGACACACATCTGGTGGTGCACTCAGTGGTCCATTCTTACCCTCACATCCTTTCCTGTTTGACCCTAACCTGGACAGACTATCACCTGATTCCCCATCATGTGTTCTGGAAGTGAGAGATCATTTTTGGTTGAGTTGAGTTTGGGTCAAAAGGAGAAGACGGGGAGAAGCCACCACCTAACCCTCTTGAAAGGGGACCGGGTGGCACAGTGGCTCAACATCTGCCTTCTAACCAAAGGGTCACTGGTTAAAACCCACCAGGTACTCTGCGGGGGAAAGATGAGGCTGTCTGCTTCCGTGAAGATTACAGGCTTGGAAACCCTAAGGGGCAGTTCTCTCTCCTGTAAGGTCACTATGAGTTGGAATTGACAGTGGGTTTGGGGTTGAACCCTCTTTAGATCACCCCAGGAGACAATTGCAGGACGTCAATGCAGAAGCAGAAAGAGCTGGGGCAGGTGACGCTGGTGGGGGAAGCAGGCCGGGGCAAAGGGACATAATGGAAAGTGACAGAGGATGGCTCCATGACTCCAAGGAACCAACCAGCCTCCAGCGGTACCAGGAGCCAGACTCAAGAGCTGAGTGGAGAGGCTCTAAGTCCCTCACCACCCCCTACCAAGTTCCCAAGACAATGGGATGAGTTGGCACATGGCAACAGGGTCCAGGGCCGTTGTTCTTAATCATCTTTTAAATAGCCCAAGTCGACTGGTACAGAACCAAATGCCCATGATCTCGTTCTTTGTCTAGGGAAGTGCTGAAGTGCTTGCCTCCTCCACAGCCATACATTGCTAAACAGATGGAAAAGGACACACGGGTCACAGGCAGTAACTGTGCCCAGAGCAGAGGACCCGCCCCCTCCCAGCAGATGGGTGGTCCTTGTGGGTAGAGTGAGTCTGTGAGCAGGGCTGGGGTGGGGGCCCCACTAGGGGCTGGAGAAGGTGGGGTGGTCCAGGGGTTACACTGCAGCGGGAATGACTTACAGCCTGTCCAGCAAGCGGGGGTCCCCAGCAGGGCAAGGGCTAGCAACAGCAACGTGGCTCTGAGTGGCATGTCACAAGGTTCCTGGGGAGAAGAACAAAGGCCAGGGAGCCAGTG